TACCATTGTCGTGCAATCGAGAGCTACTCGGATGGAATCCCTCATGCGTGACCGTTCTACATGCTACCGTTGCCGTGCAATCAAGAGCTACTCGGATGGAATCCCTCATGCGCGACCGTTCTACATGCTACCGTTGTCGTGCAATCGAAAGTTCCCTATTACCAGTTATACAACAAAACTAACTCCATGATTACTATTGCTGTATTATCATCATCACTATTATTATTTGATTGGTTGAATCATAATGCATAATTTTAAGTTAGAATCTTATTTGTAAATATTAAGTAAATTTTTGTAAAGTTGAAAGATCTCATTCAGTTATTTTTTTCAGTTTTTTTTCCCCAGAATTTTTAAAACCTATCTGTTTCAATGATCATAAGTTCTACGAGTGCATGACTAGGTATTTGTTCTCAATTGAGAAACTCCTACAAAGAATGCACTTATTGTCATTTGGAGAAACTTCGAAAAATAAAATATATTGGCGAAATTCTTCAAGTTTTCTTGTGTATGACATGTTCGTTGAGTGTATTGGACTTATTCGTAGAAGAGTGCTTGGCAATCAAAACTATTACATAAACAAGTGTAATGTTACCAGAGCATCAGTGGCTGCTTCCTCGTGAAAATATCTGTTTGCCTGAGGTTTATGACACCATTGATATGATGAGCTCATCAGAGACTACTAAAATGTTTCGCACATTGAAGCAGGGTGAGATTAAAGAGTCGCCAGTAGTAGTAAGATGTATGTTTTGTGCTTAAATTAACTAAAACCAGAGGAGCCACAAATTCGTTTTAAAATGAAACAAAAAGACAGTTACTGCAGAAAGAGAAACATTTTGAAGATTCAAAGTTTTAATCTATTTGAGTGGTGGCGCCAGCAGTGGGGGTATTGGCTGGAAGTCTCATCTACGAATTGTTATGTTTTTCATCCCGTCCCCCTCACTGGCTCCATGATTTGCCCGACTGGAGGGCCGATATCCCCGACGAGAGAATACGTGGCATGGTCGGGCGTCGCTCAAACCTCTCAGAAGTGGTTAAGAGGACAAATCCCCTGAAAACTACGACAATTTAGGGGTTTCAAAAGCTTATTTAATCGATTTAGAGCTAATTATTATGTAATAATTTTTAAACTACGTATCATCCCCGACGAATTGTTTTTATTCTCCCCGATGGCTGGCTGAGGCCTCTCCTTGCTGGTCCCACCCCTGGTGTGTATCGCGTTGAGAAGTAGGGGCCACGATATTCAACATGTGCCTTGGAGCTTAACTTAAATCATTGAAACCCCTCCCATTAAACATTGCCTCCCCCTCTTCTCAATGCCCCATGTCATTAATCCTAGATATGTCACTGCTGTGTTGTTTGGATGACAAAGGCAAATAAGTACAGTAAGACCAATATTAATTCTTCACCATGTTTGTAATGGAGCGCATAATACATGGTCTCTATGCGCTGTTGTTACACAAAATATAATTATAGGCCCTACCTACATAAAACATCTCCTCTTTTTAAAACCAAGTATATATTCAGAACTAGAAAGAAAAGGATAAATCCAAATATTTCTAAGTTATACTATATTAACAATGAAATTGAAAGAACAAAATCAATTAAGTTCTTTGGTATTCATATTGACGAATACTTATCTTTCAACCCGCATTTGGATGCAACATCCCTCAAAGTTTTGAGAGTAGTTGGTGTTCTTAATAAGCTTAATACTGTTTACCCTCTTGCACTCTACTTTTAATCTACAAGTCCCTCGTCTTACCCTACTTAAATTACGGTATCACTGTGTGGGGCTACACTGCAAAACAAAATCTGAATCGTATATTTGTTCTACAAAAAAAGGCACTTACAATGTCCATTACCTTCATCCTTCTGCTTTGCTATTTGTTTCTTAATATTTTTGATTTGCGTACAAAAAATGTTGCGGTCTTTATATTTAAATTTAAGTCTAATCAATTGCCTCTAATCTTTAGTTCATACTTTCAGAATTTTAATTCAATCCACAATTACAATACTAGAAATAGGAGTAACTATGTTTATGAGCGTTTAACTACTGTAACTGGCCAAAGTGATATCTCATTTCAAGGTGCTAAAGTTTGGAATGAATTACCTGATCACTTAAAAACAATTAAAAATATTAAAACTTTTAAATACAAATTACATTCGTATCTAGTTTCTTCCACCACATGAATTTCTGGTAATTATTTGTTATACTTGTTGTATTAATGTAGGCCTATATAATATTTTATTATACTTTATATTTTAATTTGTCATCTCTTTGAATTAAAATTTATTTATTGGATACATGCTAATGTTCTCTGTTTTGTTTTGTGAAATAAAATATACTTTGATTGATTGAAAAATATATTCTAACTGTATCATAGTCCTATATTTCATCATAAATTCAAATATACTTTTCATTTCTAAAAATAAATTTTATAGAAATATTTATAAATATATATCGGAATATCATGGTTGTAACTATAACAGTTTATGGCAGGAGCTGCAGAGTCTTTCAAATAACAGTACTGTACATAAATTACAGATTACAATAACAATGCTGAATAAAAATGTTACCTGTTAATTTGAAAAAATAAAATGTATACAATATATAAAAATATAGGTAATTATAAGCAAATGTTACAATAGTGTTCAGATTGATCTTGGCGTCCGGAGTCGAAAAATCATGTAAACCACCAAAGCAATTGCAAAAAATTGAACACAGAAACATATTTGAAAACTGAGAGAGTATTCGGTAACACACAGATCTGAAAGAAATTGAAACAAAGTGATTAATCAATTAGGTCTACCTGATTTATTGAACTTTAATGTTTTATACATTTAGGCGTACAGTAGGCGTACATACTGTAACCGTTCTTCTATTGAATTTGTATATATAGAAACGTATTGTTCTGAATACAGTTATTCCTGTATTTTTTTTATAACCGAATAAGAAAGGTGAAATATTATATCACTTTATAGACTAACAATACTTCATGAAAATAAATACGAGCTTCCGTTCAAACGGAAGGTCATGGGTTCTAATTCGTG